CAAGACCACGGCCACACAGCCCGGAAGAACCACACCAGCCATCATATGCCGGCCGTGAAAGCCTTCGACAATACAATCTATCTTGTTATTTAAGTGAGCTAAGGTCCAACCACTTAAATAAGTTAGAAGATTAATTTTTTGCACATGTGTGCGTATCAGCAATCTCCACTATGCACCAACTGAGAGATCTAGATTTATAAAGCAAAGGTTTTATTTTTGCACTAGGATAAGGGTTTTACAGCAGCCTAAAAAGAAGGCAGAAAACGTATTATTAAGCGATGGTCCCCAAATGGTTAGATAGTTTACAGCAAGCTTCCCTAACTATTGGCTAACAGGAGTACTTGGAGGGGACTCATCTAAGTTGGGATTCAATCATCTGGAAGACAGAGGTAGCTGGGGAAGACGGGTCTGTACTAACTGCAGCAGTTTTCAGGATCTGGCTCTGAGGTCTTTCCCGGCCCTGATGATGCTAGTGTTGGATGTGGACCTCCTGCATCCACAATAGATGCTCCACCTCTCAATTTAACCCTTTCCTCATATTCCTCCCTTGTGTCAGGCATGAGAAAATGATGCATAGTACCTGCTGGTTTCTTTCATTGAGAGTGCCAGGCCTACAGATGAGTAAGGGACCCACTAAGCCAGAATTGGTGTCTCTTGTGGGATCCACTGCAGAAGAGTACATCCAGGTCAGGCAAGGAGGGTCTGAGGCTGTGGGGCCAACATGTAGTGGCACCGTCCAGTGATATGTGAAGTTCCCAAATGGCTTGACGGATGCTCCATTTCTGAGTAAGCCTTTAAAATGAAGGGAAAATCCCGTTATTTGTATATCTGCATTCGTTGGTCCATCAAATCATCTCACATAATGCACGGTGGGAACAGATGTTCCTGGCTTTTTCCATTTGATGGGCATATTTGGAATGTGGTCACCCCTGTACAATGGCTACTATGGAGAGGGGGCACCAGAATACTCTCTGCCAAGAGAGACATCACTAATCATTACCATATCCATTTACTGGAAGGCAAGCTGTTCTAATAGACCTGCTTTAAATAAAAGAAAGAGAATAATTCCTTCTTGGCCTCAAAGGCAAGCTCTCCGAAATTTCAGTTTATCCTTTCTCGGGGGGAAGTGAAGGTAGACACATTTTCAAAGGAAGTTCTGGGTTGCACCAACCAGTCATTGTTACTTTCAGAGGTGGGTCCCAAAGTATCTTGTAAAGAATTGCTTTGCAAGGAAGCAGCTTCCTGCTTAATATTTTAAAGACTGGAACCCAGAATGATCAGATGGGCCAGGAAACTGGGAAGGTGCAATGGGACGTGTCTACTGGCATATTGGCTCCAATGGGCACCAGATTGTCTCTCCTGGGAAAAACTGAAAGATGGCATGGATGAGTTAATACTGAGAACTGGACGACAGGGGTCCAGATTTGCTGGTTAATTTTAACTGAATATTCTGCTCACTTCTACTGCATTTTTATGCAGTGTTTACAAACTGTTCTAATAGACATGCTTTAAATAAAAGAAAGAAAATAATTCCTTCTTGGCTTCAAAGGTTAGCGATGGGGTAGCCAGCAATGATTCTTCAGCCTAAGTGACTTCACAGGGCTGATGTGAAGGAGGGTCTGTTCAATGCCCTCAGCATTTGGAGGAAGGGAAGAATTGTGATAGATGCATTATTTAGGTTTTGACTGACTGGTTTGTCATTCCAAAAACTTCTGCCCAGGGCCTGGCTAAGTGGTCCTTGCTGAGCTCAAGTGGATGAGCTGTTTCCAGATTTTTTTCAGGGGCTGTGATAGCCCTTTGTCCTCCCTTCCACTCTTAATAATCTTTGCTCTCTTCTGTGTTGCTTTTATAGTTTTTAAGAATTAAAAATGAAATGTCATCTCAGAAGGAAATTCTCAGATTGGCTACTGAAATAAAGCAGATTAAGAATGCCTTCCACCGCTTGGCCCTTTCAGCTCCCATAATCCACAGCCAACATGGAGGACACCAGGCAGGAGAAGAGCATTGCCAATACGTTGCCAGTGTTCCACATGAAGGCTTCCTATAAAACTGTTTCTGTATAACTGGAAATAGCCTCTGTTTCTTGGACCAAGAACTTTCTTTGCCTGACCTGTTTATTGACTGAAAGGATCACACCTGTGATATATGTGTTTCATTCCAGAACAGATAAAAAATGAACACAGAGAGGTGAGAAGAACGAACCATCTTGGTATGGGGTTCCTTCTGACAGCTTTCTGTAAAACACACCGTGGGGCTGAATGCTGAAGGGCCACGAGGCTTTGTTTGCAAAGGTCACCTGAATGGTGTCACCTACTTCGGCCTTGATCACTGGCCCTGCGGGGTGAAAGAGAGGAGGGGGCATGGATGAGCTGCAACCGCAAATGAACCAGCTTCAGAGAACTGCATAAATCTCGGCTAACAAAGAGCAATCCCTTGGAGCTAGAGGGCCCAACCAGGGCCCCCACAGTCAGCCCAAAGCCTTCGGTGTGGCCCCCAGAACACTCTAACATTGCCATCACCTTGTCATGTTTAATATGATAAAAAGGGGGAAACAGAAATGATTACAGATGTTGAGAATGAGCATTATAATTTATTTTAATGTAATGTAATTTGACGGACATACATTTGCAAAAATATAATTTATTTTAATGTAATGTAATTTGACGGACATACATTTGCAAAAATAACATTGCCATCACCTTGTCATGTTTAATATGATAAAAAGGGGGAAACAGAAATGATTACAGATGTTGAGAATGAGCATTATAATTTATTTTAATGTAATGTAATTTGACGGACATACATTTGCAAAAATCTAATTTACTTTTTGTCCTGACCTGGACAGGCTTTTCTGAGTGAGATCACCATCTTGCCTTTCAAATACCAAGTACAATTCAAAGACTCTGCACCTCCCCAAATGATGGATCCCTGACTGAAAAAATATAAAAAAATAATTCAGCATCTGCTTTTGTGGATCCAGCAATGCTTATGTTATGGTAACATTATTCATTTTAAGTTTTAAAAACTTAATGTTTACAGAGCCCTAGCCTGGTGGTGACTGTTTTCAAGAAAAACAATTCAATCAAAGGCCATCTGGTGAGATCCAGAATCACCAAAATAAAATACTAACAATAAAGATAAAAGATTTAGTCTGCTTTGCTCTGGCTTGGAGGGGACAAAAAGATAGATAGATCCTGGATAACATTAATTAAAGTGGAAATCCAGAGTAACAGCTCCAATTACTACAAGGTTTAATAACAGCCTTTCAAAACAGAAAAGTTGAGCTAGAGAAGTTAAGCATAAACAAGGTCTTTAGTCGGGCTGAAATTCACAACCAATTGCAGGGGTGTTGGCAGGGCATGGTCAAAAAAGTCAAGATGGTGGCCTTTGATTACACCATCTTGGTGCCAGAGCCTGCATGCCCCTAAATCCGTTGCACCATACCTGAATCAAAAGCTCTCCCCAGCTTTGGATGCTCTAACACAGGGTTTCTCGACCTTGGCAAATTTTGAGATGTGTGCACTTCAACTCCCAGAACTCTCCAGACAGCATTCTGAGCTGCTTCTCACTGAAGTTTTAATTGCATAGTTACCCTGTTTGTTTACTGAATTTTATTGAGAGCATGGATTCAAGGTGATGACCTCCTCAGATTATAATCCTGCCATATTTTCTGTTTCTTCTCTTTCTACAAGGACATCCATTAACCAGGAAAAATAATAGTTGCACAATGTCTTTTTATTAAATGATGGGGAAAGCAAATTTGTGAATTTGATTTGGATGAGTTTCTCATTGTTCCAAACTATTTTTTTTAAAATAAACATTTGCACAAAAATTTCTATGCATTTTCTTTCTCATACACACACACACACACACACTGTTGCTGATGTAGTTAATATGTAAAACATAAAATATTTAATATCTCCAAGCAAGTTCCTCGCATATGCGATGCACCCTTAACATATGAATATTATGTGAACTATAATGTACAGTTTTGTACATATTGTGAGCTGAAGTGCCATCTGAAAAAAAGTGAATATGTAACGTTGATATATATATGTATATATACTTCCACTTGCATATACAGAAATTTTGTTTTCATCAAAGTGGAACTGAATAAATGCTCACTATTCTTTAGCTAGAAGTGCTTTATCTGGGAACATTTTTATTTAAATACTGCTTTTAGAATTTTTGTTCTTCATTTGCATTGTATGTTTCCAGTTTGTTTAAGATGCTCCTCTTGCAAAGGAGCAAATTCCTAAATTGTTTTTAACTAGATTATATATTACTTGTAGGAGTGAAGGGATGGAGCTATGAACAGATATGGGCAATAAATTAAGAATCTCCTTGCTCAATTAGAGATGGAATCCTGCCACCTTACCGAGTATCCCAAGGTGCTTTTCTTCCTCCGTCCGCCTCTTCTCCACACGAAAAGTCCCGTCTGTATATTCAATGTATTTGGCTTTCCAAAATGTCCCCCCAGGTTGACTGGAATTCTGCTTAAAGAACTGCTCTGAGAAACTGAACACCAACAAGCGCATGATGGATTTTTGCATTATCCAGCAGCCACGGCATTCCTTAAACTCTGAGCTTTTAAAAAACGTATTTGTTACTGATTGTATAAATCTGGCTGTATAAAGAATGGCAGCATGTTTCATCTTGAATTGTACAAACAGCCTTGGCAAATTAATCTTTTGATTCAGAGGTTGGTTTAGCTTTAACAATAGAGAAATATCCCTGACATTTTTATGTTCCACCCAGTCATGCCAGGAAAACAAAAACAATCCTGCAAAAAATCTAGCAGTCAGATTAATCTTTGGCACTTAACATTAGATCTAATCCTCACCGGTGTTTTCATTACACCTATAAGAAATTCTGATCTGGTCACGTTTGCAGAGGACCACACAGCCAAGGGCAAATTAACGCAGGGGCAGCCCCAGCCATCCTTTGGCCTCTGGAGTCGGCAGTGAGTAGCCTTAGTGGCCCCCCCTGCTGACATCTACGAGGTCCCCTGTGGGTACTTCACAGAGCGAGACCATTTATGACAAGCCCCGCTCAGCTAAAGTCCGAGACCTGCAGGCCAAGGTGGCTGCCAATGTTCTCCTTTCTGCCCTTTCTCCAGGCATCAGGGCCAGCCCGCATCTCTCCCCCGAGCACCAGCCGGGGGCTTCCTGGCCAGACAAGATTGGAAGCAGTGAGTGTGCTGGCAGAATCGGGAGAGTGGGAGGCAGCGGAGCAGCAAGAGAACACCTGTTTTGTGTTCAAGGGAGCTCAGGCTGAATTCCTGACATTTTCTGTTAATCCCAGAAAGGCGTATGTTGAAAAACAGGAAGGATGCTCCTATCAGTTGGCATTGGACACTCTTGTGGAGATCTAGATCAGGATGTGGATGATGGGAGCGCAGCTCTCGCCCCGTTATATCCCCCAGCTGCCTTTCATACTATCAACTATGGTATCCTAAAAGGGTTGGGAGTTGAGACAACATTTTACAGCTCTCCCATTACGTCCTGAATGGGTGGTGCCAGTCAGCTGTGGGAAGGGATAAGTCCGTGGCCCCTTTTATACAGTTGCTGCAGGACTCGCTCCTCTCCCCTTGTTATTTAACCGCTACATAAAGCCACTGGAGGGGAGCATCATTGCAGGGAAGTATCATTTACAGGTGATAACCAACTGTACAATTCCATCCAGGGGGGAGCAGGAAATGCCATATCTAGGGACTGCAGGCTCAAAGGGTTTGGATTGGACAAAACAAGTTGAGATTGGATCTTTGCAAGACAGACTGAAAAGATGAGGAGAACCACAGAGATGAATCATGCTGGGGAAATGGAGGAAGTGTGAGAAAGAAACTCAAGATTTCCCTGTCTTGGCATAAGAGGGAGGGAAGGGAAAACACCACCAGCTTTCAAGAGTCTGTTATTTCAGCCAGCTCAATAGAATTCCAGTCATTTGTGAGGAGACCTATTCCTGACCTGGCCAACTTTGAAGGGCTGACATCAGTCTTGAAAGCCTGACAGTGTTTCCCTTTCCTTCTGCTTTTACCAGAGAGAGACAGTTTAGTTTCTTTCCAGCACTGTCTTTCTTTCCCAGGATTAATTCTTGTTTTGCAAATTGCCCCATTTGTTTTCCAAGGTCATCTCTGTGGTTGTCTACAAGAACTCAGCAGTCCTTCTGTGGGAAATTCTCTAAATTTCTCTTTGCACACAAATATGTAGCTTTGGATCATTCTCCTCAATAAATAAATGAACTCATTTGACTCATTTGCTTAATTGGGTTCTCTTATCTAGTTTTAGGACTTGTGTGGATCACAGATCATGTTTTAGGTCATATTTATGCAGAAATATTGAGAATTCAAAAGGATTCAGAAACTTTTAAGTACTACTGTAGTTGTGGCTGTTTAGTAACCGCAATGAACATTACAGAATAGAGTGTTTGGTGTGTGTGTGTGTGTGTATGTGTGAGAGAGAGAGAGAGAGAGAGAGAGAGAGAAGGAGAGAGAGAGAGAAACGTCAGGATGGTGGCCGCAAACATTATGTGCATTATATGTAAAATGAGTGGGGGCTTTGACCACATGGATGTGGCTTCCATCTTGACTTTTTTGACCACTTGCAGACACCCTGGCAAATGTTTGCTTGGGTTGCTGGGATTTTCAAGCCATAAAGTCGTATCAAGAATCCTCAACCCAATTCTGCCACTCTGTGCCTGAAAAGGGAATTGCTGCTTGCCTGACTAGTTCAGTTTGGTCCTAAATCGAGCAGATGCTGAGCATTACCAGAGGTAATTTTCAAAGGGGGGGGCAATGATATAACACTGGAAGCTTCCAGATAAGGCTTGTATTGGACAACCGCTTGGGCTCTTTTCCAGCTCACTTCTACTCCTGGAAAACTAGCAAAAAGCTGCAGCTGGCACACCAACAATCCAGGGGAAGCCCAACGCCAGCTCTGTCTTTCTGTACAGGGTGGGCGACTTCTGGTGGGTGAGGATGCAGCTGAAATGGTTGAAGGTGGGCGCTGAAGGCTGCCATGGAGGGATCTGGCACAACGTGAATGAGATCCATCTTGCAGGGGGCCAGGGCCAGGATTCTCTGGGTTTGGGCTGGGGTGGGATTCTTTTAAACAAAACTTGCTAAGCCTATTTTAGGTATAGGCTACAGTTTTTTATGGGTTTCTGCCTGAGAACTAAAGGGATCTGAAATTCAGCCGAGCAGCTGAAGAGAGCTTGATGTTGCTAAAAAAGACCCTGAAGGGCACATGCACTTCTGAGGTTGGGGTTATCTACACTGCCTTGTGGTCCTTGGCCATAAGAATTTCTAGGGGTCCCCATGCAGTAGACCCTGCTTATTTATTTAACTGATTTATCTAGATGCCCATCTCCCAATTCGATCCCTTCCTCTCGGAAGGAAGGTGGGCCAGCCAACTTTGCAGCTGAAAAACAAGCCTGCTGTGTTTCTGTTTACACTTTGTTAAAATTCACATACAGTCAAAGACCAATATAAGCTTTGCAGTTTTCAATCTGTCTGCTCAGTGGTCTAATCCCCAGGCACAGAAGACAAGAAACCACAGTCTTGTGACAGGGCTGGAGAACTCTCAGCATCCATCAAAAACTGTAATTCTCAGGATAGGGGTGTCAATGGCAATTCCTCACAATGGCTGTCCATTTCCTGCAGTATCGGGGATGGCCAGCCCCTCAAAGCCAGATCTTGGCATACCTGAGTGGGATCATCTCTTGCTTGGCCCTTGGGAGAACAAAGTTCTGGGCTAGGGAGTGCTCACTTCAGATCCAACCTGAGCTCACCTGCATTTCTGTTCAGCTATTATTGTTAAGCCAGTTTCAACATACATTGTTATAGTGAACTATCATCTGCATCACAAATACTCTCCCTACTCAGGCAGTGAATTTAGTTATTCAGCCCATTCTTATACTTGTAAAAGTACAAAGTTAACAGCCGAAAAATACTGTTTTTTCCACAACGCTCCTTTCAACACTGCAGATGTGTTCCCGGCCGAAGCACACAGGCTTTGGAAATTACCTTTGACTAAACTGATCAGAGTTACTTACCTGTTTGGCTCCTGCAGGCTTTTCCCAGTACTTTGGTCTAATCCGGAAGGCCCATAGTTCCACCGCACTTCTGCTGCTGCTATATAGTATTCCCGAAGTTTCCCGTTTGGGGCAGGTCCTGGATTCTGATAGGAGCAACGCTTGACCTCATACAGAGCCTCCATCCCCGCTGCGGGAGCCAAGAAGAGACAGCAAGAGATTGAGGCTCAGTCTCCCCCACGGGGAAGAAAAGAGGCGTTTCAGAGGATGCAGAAAATGGGGTTAGGGTGGTTGGGGATGCGGCTGACCAGATCCGCCATCGATTCTTCTCGTTTATTCTTTTGTAAATATTGTACTGTGTTCTGTTTTCATCCGGTCACTTTTACTGTATGCCACCCAAAGTTGGTTGGGTGGTGCCTAAACTGAATAAATTAAGTTGTTAAATTTCCTAGATACAAGGAAAATAAGACAATCTATCTGCAATTTAGAGGGTTGCACAAACAGGGCAGCTTTGGAATTTAAGTGTGCAACTCAGAAATCCATTACTGGTTTTATGGACTAATCCGAAAGTCACTAAATGACCACTTTGATTCTCTGGCAGGTTCTCCTCTCCAATTTACTCATAGTTGGATGGTATTGCCTGCATTAAAGTCTGCAAGATACCCTTGGAATGGAGGTATGACCCCCCTTTCCTACTCTGTTGGACTCCTCACAAATATTCCCAGAATTGTTAATAGGGTGCTACAGAGATCATTACTCTTTCGGGATGTATTGGAGATTTGAATTAATCAGAAGCTCTTTTTAAAGGATGCGCTCCTGAATATCAGCAAAGTGCTGAAAGAATACTGAGTAACTAAATAGCAGAACGTCTCTTTAAAAAGAGGAAAATGCTCATAATAGAGTTGCCTTGGCTACAGAGTATGAGTTTTTTGGTTTAACAATTAAGCCGGGTGAATTATACAATTCTTTGTATATAACAGGGAATGGAGTCGGTCTCTTTGAAATCTTTTTTTTTTTTAATTTATCTTCTCTTCTTGTTCTTTCCTTTTTCCATTGAAAATGGCCTAGCCTGTAAACAATTCTAAAAGGTTTGGCCTTCATACCACTTATCTGATAACTGTTATTGTTTGTATGGAAGGATCAAACTTTTTTGTACATGAGTGGTATTGCAGTGCCTAATTGGGGATTGATTCTATCAATGACATTTCTGTTTATGGGGTATCACAGAAGAAGAAAATAAAAGCATGAAACATTCAGCTAACATTATGAGAACATTGCTTGTATCTACAAAGTTGTTTCTCTCCCTTATTTTTTTCTACCAATCCCTCCTAAAACTGGACAGATATTCTAAAATCCCCAAATCTTAGTCTCCACTGCTTCCACCCTTGCTTGTATCTGCACTTTCCCTACTGAAATTTGTGGATATTTTGTAAAACGATAGAGTTGGAGGGACCATCAAGTCCACCCCCCTGCTCAGTGCAGGAATTCAAATTCAAGCATCTCTGAGAAATGGCTGCCCAGGCCCACTTGCCCACCTCCAAGAAAGGGGAGACCACCCCTCTCTGGATCAAATTGTTGGTTCCATCATTGAACTTTATCAGGCCATTTTTTCTAACATTCAACGGGAATCTGCCTCACTTAAATCCATTACTCATGTTCTGAGCTCTGGAAAGAGAAGGAACAAATCTTCAGCTTCTTCTGCATGACCTCCTTTCAAGTGTTTGAAAAGCTCTACCACGTCTCTCTCAGTTGGCTTTTCGCAAGGATAAACATACCCAGCCTGTCCAATCATTCTTCACAGTCCATAGTCCCTTAATAATTGTTTCTGTCCTTCTCCGAATTTGTTCCAATTTCTCTGAGTTTCACCCTGCTGTGGTTTACGAAAGCTGCTAAAACCTGGCTTTTAAAGAGAGCCCCAGAGGGAATCTAGTTTAAGTTAGACTAAAATAAAAACATGAAACATTAAGCTAGCATCATGAGAACATTGCTTTTATCCAGAATGTTGAGCATCCTTGGTTATTCAGAGCATCCTTGGTTGTGCCTGGATGTTTCTGTCCTTAGCGGCCTTAGTTTTTTTTTAAATAACATCGGTGATGCCATTTTGTACTATATTTGCATTTGAACCTTTTACTGGAAGAAGAGAATATAAGGACCTGGCTGGACTGCAGGGGCACGTAAGCTTTAATAAGCAAACAAACAAACAAACAAACAAACAATGTGTGGTGCCCAAAGTGGCAGATTATACTTGAAGCTGGGTCTAACCAAAGCAGGATAAAATGGAACAATTATTTTCTATAATTTGGAGATCATATTTCTATCTTTGCCGTCTAGAATAGCAATTTCCTACTTTGTAGCCACATCATGTCAGGTTCGGTCAGCACGAGGCTTCAGGGAAGCACGGGGCTGCAGGGAAGCTTGCAACCAGACCACGCGGAACCCACCGGCGGTAGCTAGCGGGGAAAAGAGGAACCGAAAGC